CCATACTAGCGCACAACTCAAGGAATTCCCAGAGACAGCTGGCCTAGCTAAAGAAGGCTCAACATCATCCTTAGCTATATAGCAAGTTTGAGGCTAGCCTGTGCTACATTAGATCTTGCCTCAAAAGAAAATAAGGGCTCGGTGGAGTGGCATACACCTTTAGTCCTAGTACTCAGAAGTTAGAGGCGGAAGGGTCTCTTTGAGTTCCAGGATAGCCAGGGCCACATAAAGGAGAAACAAATAAAAAGTGTGGTGTCTCATGTGGGCCCTAGAGTCGGGTCAGATTTTCCCCAGAAGGAAACAGGAACACATAATGCAAACTGTCACCAACCGTGCTGAGGAGGCTGGACTCTGTGTGGGGGGGGGGGGGAGACAGAACCTGAGGTAGCTGGTTGTGTGTCAGAGACTGGTGGCCCGTAGGGTAGAAGGCAGGAAAGTGCAGGCTGAAGCCTTAAAGGTAGCATCCTTGAGATAGGGACTCTGGAAATGGGGCATGAAGTCATAAGACCACAAACTACCTCCCCTCTGTCACCTCCAGAGCTGCTGCAGATCAAGGCGTCCCAAGAAAAGGAGCAGAAGGAGGACATGGGGCAGACCCTGAAGAAACTGGAGGACCTGGTGACACAGTCGCTGGAGCAGATCCCCAAGCTGCAGTGGCGTGGGGACTGGTGAGATGGGGCGTTGGAGCATGGGAAAACTGACTGGTTCACAACACCGTGATAGGGAGGTCTGAGGGTGGGGCTTTCCTCAGACACCATTCCTTTCCCCAGGTGGGAGCAGCCAGGCCAAGCCACCCTCTCTGGGGAGCCCTGCCAGGGCCTGTCTCTGCCCCAATGGCCTCTACGCTGGGCCCAGGCCTGCAGAGCACTGCAGCAGCCCAACAAATGAAGAGGCGGCTAGGAGCAGAGTCAAGAATCGCAACTTAGCCCAGTGGTGTGAGCCCATCGTCTCTCCTCAGGAAGCTAAGGAAAGAGGACTGCTGTTGATTTCTACCCAGCCTGGGCTACACAACCAGTTCCAGGACAGCCTGGGCAACATAAGACCCAATTTCAAAAATAAATAGTACTTAACCCCCAAATCACCTCCCTCACTAAAGCATTTGAAAGAAAGTATCACCTGCTTTGTCAGCTTTGTCTTGGCACAGACCTTCAGTTCGCCTCTGGCTGCCATTCTGTGGTTCCTCCCAGTTCTCTCCATGCCCTTCCAACTAAAGCCATAAAGTGGGGGGCGGGGGGAGGGTACCTCAGACCTTATACCTTAAATTGCCTGCTTCACTCTCCTCTTGGGCAGATTAAATAAAACGGCCCAAAGCCCTTGCCTTCAGGGACCTAGTGGCCTCGGAGAGTGAGCTAGCCAGCCGGCAAGGTGAATGACAGGAACCTAACTGCCATGGAGACAGTAAGTAGGCTAAGGGTGTTGGAGGGAGATTTCCAGGGTGGAGCTTTGCTGGAAAGGTGACCAGAAAGGCTGCAAGTGGGTGTCATAGCAGAGTGCCTTGCCAAAAGGGAGCCCTGGGGGGTGGGGGGGGAGGCAGGGTGAGAGATGTCCCCAAAGGTTCTGTTTTGATACAGTCTATGAATATAACCCAGGCTGGCCTTCAACTCATGAGCCTCCTGCCTCCACCCCCCCCCAACCTCAGCGTTTGTACTCCCAGGTTGTCTTAATTTCTTTTCTAAATGTTGTGACTTAATAATGCGTGGGAACAGCACAAGAGAGGTTTATTTGGGCTCATTTAGAGGCTGCCACGCGTCCTGCTCGGGAAGGCATGGCAGCTGAAGTAACTCTGGTAGTGAGAGCTAAAGGAGTTGCTTGTTCAAATCATGCTGGAGCTGGAGACAGAATATTGAATAGAAACCAGGGATGAATACACTTCCAGGCTCACCACCAGCAACCCACTCCTAGACAGACCCTATATCCCAAAATTCACTAACCTCACAAAACTGCACCAACATTTGGGGACCAACTGTTCACACATGAACCCATATGGGCCGTTTCGGATTCAGACTCCAACACAGGTCTTATAGTCTGTACAGTTTTTCTTTTTCTATGCTCAAATCTAAGCTATTTGTAGTTTATCTGAGAAAAAAATTATCTGATATTGTCTTACTTTACACATCTCAATAATACTTATTAAACTTTGGAGGTGGGGCTGTAAGAGGACTCACTGGGTAAGGGCACCGGCCGCCAAACCTGATGACCTGAGTTCAATCCCTGGGACCTAACTACGTGGTGGGAGGAGAGCTCAACTCCTGCAAGTTGTCTCCTGTGCTGTGGTATGCACATGGACACGCGCATTTTTATTTAAATTCTCCATAAAATGAGACGATGTAAATGCCCTACAATATTGTATCTACATCAGAAATGCAACTTGATTTTCCTAAAACATTCGTTGTAAATAAGATGACAACATAGTATCGGGTAGTGGTGGCGCACACCGTTAATCCCAGGCAGAGGCAGGCAAATCTCTGAGTTTGAGGCCAGCCTGTTCTGCAGAGTGACTTCTGGGAAAGCCAGAGCTGGAGAAACATTGTCTCAAAAAAAAAAAAAGAACAATCCTGGTGCCCAGACTGTGGTTTCAAGGTGCCATTTCTAACTAACCGGAGCCAGGAATCCTGGGGAAATGACTGGTCCTAGGCCTGGGGAAAGACATATGCAAAATGTATAGTGATCATTTTGTGCCAGAAAACGAGGAAGTCCTTCAGGAAAACTGGCCAGTGGGGAGTTTTAGAGCCAACCTACAGCGCTCTCACAAGTCAAAGAAAAACTACCCAGTGAGGTGGTACGCCTGGGGTCCCATCCCTGGAAACGTGGAGACAGTAGACGTTGGTTTTGGTATGGGCCACGCAGTGAGACTCCACCGGCCCACACACCCCTTTAAAAAAGTAGCACATAACTCCTATTTAAGACAGTGCCAAGATTTTTTAAATGATGGGACAGGATTTTGGCCTCACTAAGGATAACCTACCATCATGAGCTTCTGAAGGGTAAAGCCAGATACAGTGGATTACAGTACAACTATGAAGTATGCTGGCCTTCCCGTCACCATCACCATCTGAGGCTGGGGTCCACACCTGTGGTCTTTATCTGTAATCCTAGCACTCAAAAGACAGGCTGGAGGACTGCTGTGTGTTGAGGTCAGCAAGGTGAGTTCTAGACCAGCCAGAACCACACAGTGCTCTTAACCTCTGAGCCATCCTCTCCGGCCCCAGAAAAAGCACCGTTTAAAGGAACTCTATAGCAAAGACGCTCAATGTGACCTCACCCAAGCAATCGGCGATAACCGTGTGTGTAATTTGTATTCTTGGGCTCTAGGGAGAAATCCAGTTTACCCTCTGCGGCCTTTCCCCCAAAGATCCAAGACCAGAATAACGATGAGAGAGAGAAAAGAAAAATCAAATCCCAAATGAAGAACACACTATAAGACGCCAACCAGCGTCCCCCAAACCTGGAACAGGGAAGAAGAGCCCGTGGAAACAGGAATGAGGCATCAGGGTGAGACGCTGGAACGCGGTAGGGACGTTAGCTGAGCACAAAGGGAACTGGAATAACCCATGAGCCTTAATTCATGAAAATATCAGCGGGCTTGGCGAAGCAGCCAGGAGACAGCAGCGGCTGATCTCTGAATTTAAAAACAAACAAAAATCTTCAGTTCTGTCTAGAATATGTATTCCGGTACTTGGAAGGCTGAGGTAGGAAGATTTTTGGTTTTTTATTTTATTTATTTATTATGTACACAACATGCTGCACACCAGCAGAGGGCACCAGATCTCGTAACGGATGGCTGTGAGCCACCGTGTGGGTGCTGGGAATTGAACTCAGGACCTCTGGAAGAGCAGTCAGTGCTCTTAACCTCTAAGTTATCTCTCCAGCCCCGATTTGTTTTGTGTTGTTGTTGTTTTGTTTTTTCGAGACAGGGTTTCTCTGTGGCTTTGGAGGCTGTCCTGGAGCTCGCTCTGCAGACCAGGCTGGCCTCGAACTCACAGCGATCCCCCTGCCTCTGCCGCCCGAGCG